GTCGTCTGCAAACTTGATGATCATGCCTTCTAACTCTTCATCTAAGTCATTAATAAAGATGTTGAACAGGACCAGGCCCAGGACGGAACTCTGCGGCACTCTGCTCATCACTTCTTTCCAGGATGAAGAGGAAGCATTGGTGAGCACCCTCTGGGTTCATCCATTTTACCAATTTCAGATCCACCTCACTGTAGTTTTGCCTAGCCCACATTTGACTAGTTTGTATGCCAGAAGGTCCTGGGAGACCTTGTCAAAGGCCTTACTGAAATCCAGGTACTCTAAATCCACGGCATTCCCCACATCTGCCCAGCTTGTAATTCTATCAAAAAAAAGAGAGATCTGATTAGTATGGCATGACTTGTTTTTCATAAATCCATGTTGGCTATTAGTGATGACTGCATTTGTTTCTAAGTGTTTGCAGACCACTTCCTTAACAATATTTTCCAGAATCTTGCCTGGTATCAACGCGAGGCTGACCGGACGGTAGTTGTTTGGGTCATCCTTTTTTCCCTTCTTGAAGATTGAGACCACATTGGCCCTCCTCCAATCTGCTGGAACTTCTCCCATTCTCCAAGAACTCTCAAAGATGGTTACCAATGGTTCTGAGATGACTTCTGCTAGTTCCTTCAATACTCTTGGATGTAGTTGATCTGGCTCTGGGGACTTCAACTCATTAAGAGTGGGCAGGTATTCCTGGACAACTTGTTTCCCAATTTGGGGTTGGATGTCCTCTAATCCCTCATCCACTCCATCTTGCTGAGGCTGAAGATGACTTTCTTTTTGTGAGAAGACCGAGGCAAAGAAGGCATTAAGCAGTTCTGCTTTTTCCCTATTTCCTGTCAGCATTGCCCCATCTCCTCCTCGAAGAGGCTCTATGGCAGGGGTCCACAAACTTTTTAAACAGAGGGCCAGGTCACAGTCCCTCAAACTGTTGGAGGGCCAGATTATAATTTGGAAAAAAAATGAATGAATTCCTATGCACACTGCACATATCTTATTTGTAGTGCAAAAAACACTTAAAAACAATACAATAATTAAAATGAAGAACAATTTTAACAAATATAAACTTATTAGTATTTCAATGGGAAGTGTGGGCCTGCTTTTAGGTGATGAGATAGGGTTGTTGTTGTTGTTATGTACTTTAAAGTCATTTCAGACTTAGGTTGATCCTGAGCGCAGGCCGGTTAAATGACCTTGGAGGGCCGCATCCGGCCCCCGGGCCTTAGTTTGAGGACCCCTGCTCTATCGCCTCCTTGTTCTTCTTTTTTTCTACTGACATAAGAAAAGAAGCCCCTTTTTCTTATTTTTAATGTCTCTGGCAAGCCTGAGCTCATTTTGTGCTTTAGCCTTTTGGACCTTTTTCTTACAGGAGTTGGCTATTTGTTTGAATTCTTATTTGGTGATTTCTCCCTTTTTCCACTTCTTGTGCATGTCTCTTTTGAGTCTCAGCACAGTTAGAAGTTCTTTGGACATCCATTCTGGCTTCTTTGCACTTGTCCTATTTTTTCTTTTTGTTGGCACTGTTTGCAATTGTGCCTTGAGTATTTCACTCTTGAAAAACTCCCATCCATCCGTAACTCCCTTGTCTTTTAGTATTTGTGTCCACGGAATGCTGCTCAGTGTTTCCTTCATTTTTCGGAAATCAGCTCTCCTAAAGTCCAAAATGCGGGTTTGACTTGTCTTAGTTTTGGCCTTCCTTTGTACCTCAAATTACAGGAGCAATTTTAGTTTAAAATTAGTTTAAAGTTAAAACCAATTAAATTAATACTGGCTGTCAAGCTTTATCAAGAATTGAATGCCTAGATTGTGTTATTTCTAAAAAATCTCTAGGTCCTTCGGTTGCCCACAGAGTTTTGTTGGAGGACCTAGGCAACCAAAGCTGTCTCTGTTCCATAACCAGGCCTGAAACCAGATTGAAATGGATTTAGATAATCCATTTCATCCAGAAACTCCTGGAGTTGGTAGGCCATCACATGCTCTAAAACCTTGTTTAAAAAAGGAAGATTGGACACTGGCTGATAGTTATCCATTATGGAGGGGTTTGGGGATGGCTTTTTAAATATAGAACTCACAACTACCCCCTTTAGTCAAGTTGGAATTCTGCTTTGTTCCAAGGAGGCATTGACCACCACCTTCACCCATTCTGATAGACTCCCTCTGGCCTGTTTGATCATCCATGAAGGGCAAGAATCTAGAATACATGTGGTAGCTCTCACCTTTCTAAGGATTCTGTCTACATCCCTAGGCTATACAAATGGAAAAGTATATCCATCAACACTGTACAAGCAGAAGCCACCGTTACATCCATCAATGACATAATCTAAATCAGAATAGACCTGAGCTATTTTATCTGCAAAGTGCCATGCAAATTCTTCACAGCAGGCTGTTGAATGGTTAGCATTTTCTCCTTGAGGACCAGTATGTAATGGTGGCATATCCTAAAAACGGTGGTAAGAGTCAGAACAAAGTGACCCCATTTGCAGCCATCTATATCTAGTCAAAGGGAATAAAAAGACTCATGGAGGGTCAGCAGGGAATTTCCTTTCCAGTTACTTTGCTAAGAAAGTGGATAATGGGATGATTGCAGGAAACCATCTGAGTTACCTAGGTTTTACAGGGGCTTTGTGTAAGCAAAGTCTTCCTTCCTTTCTTCAGTATCTCTTCTGCTTGTTGGGGACCCTTGAGGGAAAACAGAGAGGGTGGTGGACTTGTACATACCCCCCTGTTTTGGCCATCTCTCATTCAATTTGAAATTAATTTTAAAGTGTAGGTGACGATGATAGTGGCCCTCCAGAAACTGCAACTTCTATAATGCTCCAGCAGTGGCAATGTCAGTTTGGAATTTATGGAAGTGATCTTGAGGATCACAGTTGTTGTAGCTAGTCAAAAGGGTAAATAGTTCTGGATTTTGGGGCTGGCATAATAAGACCCTTAAAAACTTAGGAGAAGAAATATTGTGGTAGAACTGGTAATGTGAAGCATTCGCACATGCACACACATACACATATTTCAAGAGGTAAATATCTATGCAAAACCAAGAAGCAATAAGACATTGGAGAGGGTGGTGGTTGAATACAGCAAGAATTACATATAAACAAGGCAACATAAGACACAGCTGGACAAAATCTCTTTTTCAAAGATGACAGCTTTGACCAATCCCTGAAATTTACAATGATGTCACTATTTTTGGAGGGCAAAAAAAAAAAAAAAGCCCATACGATTGTGTAAGATTAAATATAAGCAGGAACGGTACTGCATTTCTATGTGTATCTTGGATCCTTGGGTCTCAAAATGTTTTCCCACTGAAATCAAAACAGACCAAATTCAGAACATGCCTGATAGTTTATGTGATGGTTGTTGAACAGATACATCAGAAGGCCCAAATATTTGCATTCAAATGGGTCACTTCAGTCTTTCTAAACTGTTCCCTTGGGAGTGGAGGCTTTTAGGAATGTGACATTTTAAAAGATGCAATCATTGTTGAAAGAGTAGCGTGCTTGGACTGGAATGCCTTAACTGCCACCCACTATCAGAAAGGATACACAACTATACACTATGCACTTTAGACAAAAGAACGGGATTAAGAATGCAAAAAACCTACAAATGAAAGGCTGGCTGGCTCAAATGCCAAGTCCTAAACTGACCAGGGAAAAAGAGAATGGAAGGAAGAGTCACAATTCATTTTAGCAACAAATTGACATTTACACATAAGCCTCTTAACTCTTTTCATGAGTGGCTAGACCAATTTTTATTCTGGTGAATGGCTACTGTGGTAAATAAAGCTTTTTTGTCTGATTTATCAGACTGATTAAAGAAAAAGATTTCACATGCAAGTTTGATTTTGAATGGAAACTCCAATCTAGGTCAGTGATAAAGAACACAAGACTGGTGGATGATTGCTGTCACTTCTGTGGGTGCCAGTGTAGTAGAAAAGAGGTCAAAGATCTTTTCATGGGATATATGGAGCTCACCAAAGTCACTTTGGAGGATTTGATTACTGTATGGATTCTGCTGAGCATATAGCTTGAATACGTTATTCATGCATGTCTGCAGTACTGAAAACACCCAGGATTGGGCCTCTACATTTGCAGGTTTAAATTTTGTGGATCTGATATTCATGAATTTGATTGCTATGGTATCTCGGGGAATCTCTAAATCCCTCAATGTGACTTTATGGTCAACTTTTGCCAGAAGGTGACTCTAGAGTTAAGCTGGAATACTTAGTTTTCTAAAAAGAACACCTCTTTGGCAGTATCTAGGTCCTCCAGCACAACTTCTAGGACTTGTACTGGAGAACATAGCAATTCCTAGACAGGTGATCTTTCAGGTTAACATAAACAATGTTTTTATTTGTGTGTATTTTTCACTTTCTCAGTGGTCTCTCACCCCTAACACTCACAAAACTGGAGGGTTTACTGTAGTATGCATGACTCCATGTAAATATGGCATGTTAAATATCTGATCAGTTTGAATATGTGAACAAATGTCTCCAGTTCAGAATTTTAGTTCTGTTATGACTTTACTAACTGGGGCCCAATGCTGTTTTCACATTTCACATACTTACTGTAATGGCGTAGGAATGATCAAGCTAATTTAAGAGACTGTCTCTGAACACTTCGAGAAAGTGTTATTAACATGGCTTTTAATACATTGAAGAATGTTGTAAAAACATTGTTATGATTTTCAGTTGTAAGATGGACTCAATGATAGAATAAAATAATAAAAAATGAGAAAACACACAAAAAAAATTTATCAGCAAGGCAAAATTTCCTGAAAATGCTAAATCCAATATTAGAAGCACTCATGCCCCACATTGCAAGTCAGTAATAAGACATTCATTGATCTGAACAAATTTGAACTGTGCTCTTTCTATTCTATGAAGCAACTGACATTTGTCAATTCAAAGTTGCACTGAGTACATGCCAAGTCAGAATGTGAAGTTAAAAAAGAGGAAGCTTTAAAGGGGTGAATTAGAATCCATGTATCTGTAAATGGATTACCTCCAAGAATGTGGCTCAAAGCCAGTGCACATTCCTCTGCATCTTAAGCAAGGCACACCCCTTCCTGTTGGTTGCTGGCTAATTGAAACCTGAAGAGAGATAGAAAATATTATTTAGAAATGATCTGCACCGCCCTTACTCACTGAATCCATCCAAGGCAATATACACATGCAATGTGTCAAGCAGAAGAAAGTTGGTCCATCCCCCTCTGCTAGGCATCTGGTCCATAAAGGGCTAGGGTTCAGCAGACATGAGCACCCATTCACATCCTTAGACTGGAGCAACTGAATTCCCTTCTGAGTATCAAGCCAGACACAGCCCCAAACCGATTTGTGCTATCTCTTAAAGTATCTGTACTGTGGTGGTATGTAAAATGAATAGATAAAATTGGTTACATTGAGCCACATGCTGCCGTTAATTGTAGAGTTTATACAAACATACATTGGGGATCCAACAGTGGGGGCAGTATAATGCTGAAGGGCATAGGCGAGGAAGTGTCCCTCACTTCAAAGTTCTGATTGGCACCAACATTGTTAGTATATAGAGAGAGAGAGAGAGAGAGAGAGAGAGACCTTGACTTAAGAGGGCAATTCATGCTGTTATAAGCTCTTAACTCAAAACACTCTTATTTCAAAGTGAATTTTTCCATGGATGTGTTTTTAAATAAGAAAATTTACTTTATAAATAACAATGTAGAAATGCACATTTATGTGGAACAATAAAAAAGAAAGATAAGCTTTAAAATGGTAGAAGTACAAAGTTGTGACAAGGAAGCACATTTGAGGCAACAACGTGTGTTGGCCAGTGTAACAGCAAGGCAAAGCCTGCACATTTCACATGGAACAATAAAAAAGAAATATCAACTTTAAAATGATAGAAGTGCAAAGTTGTGGCAAGGAAGCACAACGCACAAAGTGAAGAAACAGAAACATCCTTTTATTGATACTGTACTCATACCAGCTGCCCTCCCTTTCTTGCTCTCTCTCTCCCTCTCTCTTCATGAAGCTAAATATACCAGGAATTTTATTTGTGTCAGGAGCAACTTGAAAAAATGCAAGTTGCTTCTGATTTGAGAGAATTGGCCATTTTCAAGGGCGGAGGCTGCTCCCTTGAAGCCCTAAAGTCTTGTACTCTCGTGCTTGCACTTCCTCTGGTGCTAGCTCTTAACTCAAAATGCTCTTATGTCAAAACAAAACCCTCTCTTGAGTGACAGCTCTTAATTCAAAATGCTTTTAAGTTGAGATGCTCTTAAGTACAGTTACCACTGTATTTGAAATTCAGCATAATGTAATTGTTTGAGCATTGGAATAAGACTCTGGAAGACTGGATGTCAAATCACTGGGTGAGTTTGGAGAAGTCATTCTCTCTCAGCCTCAGAGGAAGGCAATGAAATCACACATACACTCCACCCCTGAACAACTTTTCCAAGAAAACTCAGTGTTAGAATTGCCTAAGCATGTTTGGTGGAAACATGGAGAAGGGCCTTTTTGGTGGCTCCTCTCAGACTTTGGAACTTTGGTGTAAGAAAGACCAGGATGGCCCCATCCATGCTGGACTTTTGCACGCAGGTCAAGACCTTTCTGTGCCATCAGTCATTTGGGGAAGGATAATGAGCACAATGCTGGGGAGATTGTGGGTGGGATGTGGGGGGAAGGGGTTGAGTTTTAAACATAATCTTAATTGTATGTATAACATTTTAACTGTAATTTATTTATTTAGTTATTTATTTAAAACATTTATATTCTGCCCTTTTCACCCCGAAGGGGACTCAGGGTGGAGCACAGCATATACACGGCAAACATTCAATGCGGGGACACAAATTCACATACACATACATAAATATTAAAAAACATTTATCAAAATATTAAAATACACCATTTAAAACTGTCCTAGTCACCCGTGTCAAATCTAATTGGCCCGGTCATCTTTCCTACTGCCACTTTATTGACATGTCCTGAAAGTTTGGTCCCACAGCCAAGTTTTTACCGTCCTTCTAAAGGACAGGAGGGAGGGGGCTGGCCTGATGTCACCAGGAAGGGAGTTCCATAGCCGGGGAGCAAACACCGAGAATGCCCTATCTCTCGTCCCCACCAATTGCACCTGTAACAATGGCGGGATGGAAAGCAGGGTCTCCCTGGAGGATCTTAATTTCTGTGAGGGTACATAGGGGGAGATTTGTTCGGACAGGTAATTTGGGCTGGGGCTGTTTAGCCTTTAATTGACACAGTACTATTTTATTGTTTGTTTGTTTTTTTTTTGTATTTTCTTGTTTTAAATTATAACCAGATTTTGCAATTGTTAGTTGGCTTAAATTCCCACAGGGGGAAATGTGGGGTAGGAATAAAGTAAATAAATAAATAAATGTTGCCATAAGTTATAAATGACTTGAATGCACATAACATCAACGTTTTAAAACTCATTTGTCTCCTTTGAGTTATTGTAACATGTACGAGTTGTTTTCATCATTTAAATGTATTTTTTCACTTAGAACTGTATAGAATGCTTATATTGTTAAATGAAAGTAGGATAAAAACACCCCCCAAAAGGTAGTGAGGCCATCTATTTTACTATAGGGAAATGCTTGTTTAACACATAGATATATAGCTTAGAGAGACATTCAAGGTTACAATGGTTTTGTAGGAAGCAAGAGTCAAAACAAGACCATGTTATTTGCAGTTACTCAAGAATTCATTCTTCCACAATTTAAATCAGGAAATAAGAGTGAGAGATTGCACTGGCCTGATCTTGTTTTATTGGCTTCCACATTTGTACACCTCACAAAGACTCAAAGTTATTTTGAGAATGTGGCTAGTTTCCACATCTTTTCAGTTCGGTGTTGGAGATGGTTTCTATGGTGAATGGGAAACATGACTGAAGAAAATAAAATAAAGCATGCCCTTGAAAGAAAGCATGGGCCAGTGGAGAGGGGGAGTGAAAGGCTTGTAATACTGCTCAGATGTTCATTCATGAAACAACAGGCTACAAAAAATAAAAATTCAGATTTATTATTTAAAAGGTGAGTTTAAATGGGGCAAATATTCTAATAATTGCCCTTCAAATGTAATAAATTCCAGACGTTAATTTTCAGAAAACGATCAAATGTACCCAGTCTTCAAAACAAAAGAAAAATGTACTGGAGGAGCCAAACTGAAGTTGTCCTAAAAGGAAATATTCTAGAGAAATGGATACCATGGAATGTTGTCTCCAGACTTGTCACTGGCTTTCCCTCCATCCCCAAGGAATTTTCCCAGACTCTAAAATCTCAAAGGCCATGACTTCAGACGTGGCAGTAATTCTGGTCATCAGGGAGGAACATTCCTATGAACTTATCACAAATCCAAGTCCTGCTCAGCTCACACAAGTATTACTATGCAAAGGGGTCTTATGGCACCTTATAGACTGAGAAAACTAAGTAGGTATCATAAACTTTCATTGATTGCCTTATATACTTGTTTATATTAGTTAATCTCATGTATAAGAAGGAAGGCCTTGGGGCTAAAATGGCATATTTAGTTATGGCTTGTATGAATAGAGGGTTATTCCGCAGAGAGTAGAAAATGCCAGTGCTGCCTTAAAGGGCCGGCTGCCCCTGGATGCTGTCATTTCCCCACCCAGGCATTAAAAAAGATGTGGGAGAAAGATAATTTTGTCACTCAAATCCCTTTAAATTTCTCATCAACACATGATAACTCCATGCATTTTATGGGAGTTTTAAAGATAAGGAATACTTAGAGGTGGTTTTGCCAGTTTCTTTCTCTAAAGCTGCGGTTCTCAACCTTCTTAATGCCTTGACCCCTTAATACAGTTTCTCATGTTGTGGTGACGGCCAACCATAAAATTATTTTCATTGCTACTTCATAACTGTAATTTTGCTACTGTTATGAATCATAATGTAAGTATCTGATATGTAGGATGTATTTTCATTCACTGTATCAAATTTGGCACAAATACCAAGTACGTCCAAATTTTAAAACTGGTGGGACTGGGGGGGGGGTTGTTATTTTGTCATTTGGGAGTTGTAGTTGGACCAATGATAGAATTGGACCAAACTTTCCATACAGAACCCTCATGCCTTGGAGGGATTCGCTGGTGCGAATCTCCCTCCAGCTTCACATGCTTTTCCTCACCCACACATGTACCACACTGAGCATGCCTGCTCTCCCCTCCCCACTTGGAGTCTCAGAAACAGCCTTCCCCTTGGCTGAGAGGCCATCTGAGAGGCCAGCCAATCACAGCAGAGGAGGGCTTTTGGTGGGAGAATTCACAGTCTGTTTTCAAAAAGGAAGAGAAGGACAGGTGGAATGATATTCAGCCGCCTCTGTCAAAACCCTCAGAAATACCTGTTTTTTATTGGCTTTGGCAACCCCTCTGAACCCCCCCCCTCGTGACCCCCCCCCCGGGGTCCCAATCCCCAAGTTGCGAAACACTGCTCTAAATGTAGCCTACAGGACCTGCAGTTCACTGGTACTCTTGTTATACCTACATCCTAATACTAACCAGGGATGAAGTTACTTATCTTTCAAGATTGGACAGGATCTGGTGTGGTTAGGGTGTTTAGGCAATGAGAAGAGGATTATTCCTTCTCTATTCTGCTGGTATAGGCAGCTTCAACTGGCAGAGGCACTCCACCAGATCTTGTCCCAAAGAAGAGTACTGGCAACATAATGATTCCAATAATCTCTTGCAGAAAAAGGGACATTAACATTGTATCTCCAAGTTAAATTTTAGCGTAACATTGTTTCTCACAATGTCCCTTCTCCAGATCTTAGTACCAAGTGTTGTGGTGAAATAATCAATTAAGTGATGTTTCTATTCTGTCTGACCGGCTCTACTGTTACACAGAGTGGCAGTAGGTATGTTTGTATATGTGATGCAGTTGTTTATGTCACTTAACTTGCCTACCCCACTGAAGTCAGCTACACTACATGCTTTCTTGTCTGTGTAAAGTAAAATTTAAGTGCAGATTCCACCTGATCTTCTACTTCAGGCATCAACATGCTCTGTAGTTTTGCAAGAAATGTACTTGTGATTTCAGATCATCTTCACTTTACAAAGATATTGGGTATGTTCATGGTGGTATGTCTGCCGG